CAAACGAAGGACCAGCTTATCTGTGTGATGCGCTGAGCATCGAATCAGTTTTTCCATTTATTGTATACAGATTCACTGAACTACATATATCACTCATTTTAACCAATTTTCTAGTTCCAGGTTTTATGATGTTTTGTAACGATAATCCTTGTCATTGTGTTGCTGGGGTTTTACTCATTTTAGTAATTATTTCATCAGGTCTCCTTGTCTGGTTTTTGCTATGATTAACCTTTTATCTTTGCAGAAATGTCCTCTAACCAAATTAATGTTCTTGTTGCAGCTTTTATTTTATTTATTGTTATTTTACCAGGCAAATCCCATTGAGATCTCAGATCTCTTTTTCAAGGGCGGCCTGGGCCTGAAGGCAACCTATTGTACATGTTTTTGTGTTGTGAGGGAAACCGGAGTACCTGGAGAAAACCCACGCAAGCACGAGGAGAACATGCAAACTCCGCACTCCGGGGATCGAACCCAGGACCTTCTTGCTGTGAGGCGTCGGTGCTAACCACTGAGCCGTTGTGCCGTCTTGCCGTTTTACATGACTTATGTAAATGTACTGTAAACCTCTGCTCCATCATGAGAATAAATGACCTTAAACATGAGTTTAGGTTTCAGTCTTTTACTTTATTAAAAATATTAAACATTTTATTTGAAAGGTAAAGAGGAATTTCTCTAAAACATCTTCATCTAGTCTGAGCTGTAATCTGTGGTTGACGACTCACTTTGAGTTTTGATTGCATTAAATAAAAGCTGTTCAAGAGACTCAAGTCCCAGTCTTGAGTTCTCATCTTATAACTTTAGTTTCAAAGTAAAAACAAATCTGACATTTCTCTCCACACGTTTTGCTTCTTTAAAACATGAAAGGCAGCAGGAGATACAGGATTAATTACTTTAAGGAATACCAGCCCCTTTATTTTATTTTACATTTATTATGTTGTATATTCTCCTTTTTTTTCCCTCCTTTGGTAGTTTTTTCTCTTTCCAGCTCCTCTTTCTGTTTGTTCTTCTCATCTTCTGTTTCTTTCAAGATTCTCTTCATTTCTTTCTGTATGGCAGCTTCAGCCTCTTGCAGGAACTCATTGTAGTAGCTGCCTCCATTTTCTTTCACCATGGTGTCAATTTTTCTGATCAGTTCACTGACTTGTTTGTGATCGTTATTCGTGTTATTAAACACGTGATATCTCTGTCCACAGTCAGAAATCAGTTTTTTCAAGGAATCATCACAATCCTCTTTAATGTAATATTCAATTGACTTTTCTTCATGCTCCAGTTCATCTCCTCTTGTGAAAAGAATGAAACTTTTCAGCTTTCTTTCCAATGACTTCCTTCAGTAGTTTTAGTGTCTCTTTCTCCTCTGGTGTGAATCTGTTGATCTGTAAAACCAACAGGAAGACATGTGGTCCTGGAGCCAGCAGACTGATACACATTATCAAATCTTTGAGCTCCTCGTTAGACAAACAGTTGTCAAACCAACCAGGAGTGTCAACAACAACAACAACAACAGAACGACCGTTTATTTCAGTCTGAGCTTTCTGACACTTTTTAGTCACCGAATTTTGAGTTAATTTGGCTTCAAACTCTTTTCTTCCCAGAATAGTGTTTCCTGATGAACTCTTCCCACTTCCTGTTTTCCCGATCAGAACAATCCTGAGTCTTTCTGGACTCTGTGTCTTGTAGTCTGTGAAATCAAAGCAGAAATAATATGATGATGAAATTTTTGATAAGCTAATAAAATAAAAATCCTAAAATAAAATCCTGATGCTCCTAGTTTGTTGTAAAAACATCTAATCGGGCCCAGGGACTCCGTGTGATGATTTGTAGCAACTAAATATTTTTGAGGCTTCAAATATTAGTAAATATTGATAAATTGCTAAATATTTCTTTTTTTTTTTTTCATTTTATTTCATTTCTTGTTTTATTTAACAGGGAAAATGCACACAGAAACAGAACAGAATCAAGTCTGTAACTGATATGTTGCACAAAGCTACAGCTAATTTGCAACTCCAGTCCCTGGTTGGGCATTTCTATACATTAAAATACAGACAATTTATGCATCCACATACACTAAAAATTACATATGCATTTCTGCCAACAAATATGAAATCAACCAACCATACAACTTACAAATTAATATAATATAAATTATAAAAAACATATAAAACATTAAAATACATACAAGTTAAAATTCTGAAACAAAAACCACTCAATAAATAACTTTAAACCAAAATTACCCATGCACATCCTCAGTACCTCTCCATCCTCTCACACTTAGCTAACATACTAAAACTTGTTACTATAATACTAAGTCACCAACACATACAGTCCCACAGACGGTTCTCATCATTAAATCTAAATACCAAAAATGATCACATTTTTGGTTTTCCTTTAACCAAGGTTTAGTCATGTGGATGAATTTTTTTAATTCAAACGTAGCTTTTATTTGCGGAGGCAATAAGTTCCACAACGTTGTGCTTTTGTATGAAAAGGTGGTCTGACCAAATGAGGTTCGACATGGGGGG